ACCGGATACCAGGTTCAATAAGTTTAGTCGTTCGATTACAGAGGGCATTGCTCCTAGCCCAAAATCTTTTTGTTTTGTTCGTACACTCTTCATATGAAGTTTCATTTTAATCAATTATTGTCAATTCATTCTTTGTTTACGAGCCATTTAGTGTCGCCGAGTCATAGCATTTTATTTACAATGGAAAAAATTGAGTATCGTGCAGTGATAAAATTCTAATTTATGAAAGATGTAACACAAAAAAAAATTCACAAACGGATGTTAAAAACGTATAATGATTTTCACCCACAATTAGAACAACAATTAGTAGAAAGAAGGGTTACTGAATTTAAACGTGCTCGTACAAGCCTTGAAGACGATCCACGTAAAGGACGTCCAAAAAGCGCATCAACACCAGAAATCATAGCCAAAATACTGGATATGGTTTTGGAAGATCGTCAATTGACTGATAGAAATATAGTAGAGGCTCTCCACATCTTATTAGGCAGTGTGGGCCATATTATAAGTGAACTATGGAACAAAAACACATGCGAATGCGACTTTCTCAGCAACAGTTGAAGCGTTTTAAAAATGATAAAGTGGATTTTGTGCATGGATTCATCACTAAGACTCATGTCTATTATTACGATCCTGAATCAAAATAAAAGACTAAAGAGAGGTGTGAACTCAGCTGTTCAGCTTCGAAACGAGTTCGTGTTCAGAAATCGACCAAGTAGGTTATGGCATCAGTTTTTTTTTTTTTTTTAATGCAAGAGGAATTTTGTTTGTAGACTACTTGCAAACTGGTAAAAGAAATAATTCTGAATATTATTGGAACCTTTTTGACCAGTTAAAGGAAAAAAATCATGAAAAGACCCGGTTTGCAGAAGAATCAAGAAAAAACGTTAACTTCTGTTGCACCGAAGCTAAATACCCTTCACAGGCGCATTTCTGTTACTAACTATGTGTTCAGTTTGTATGGAAGCTATATGCTTTAGTAATCCGTTCTGAACAATTTTTTTGGAGATTACATTGTTGCCTTAGAAAATAATATATACCAAATTTCCTGAATATATCTTGTCCAATGTGAAAGTTGTCCATACAATAACTTGATTCCGATCGTTCAGTTTGTATGGCAGCTATATGTTATAGTGGTCCGATATCGGACGTTCCGATAAATGAGCAGCTTCTTGAAAAAAAATGACGTCTGCAAAACGATATCTTGTAACTGAGGGACTAGTTCGTATATATACAGACAGACAGACGGACATGGCTAAATCGACTCAGCTCGACATACTGATCATTTATACATATACTTTCTAGGGTCTCCGACGCTTCCTTTTGGGTGTTACAAACTTCGTGACAAACTTAATATACCCTGTTCAGGGTATAAAAATCCTTTTTCATCATTACAATGTACCGCGTCAAAAGAGCATTTTAACAATGACTAAAATCAATGAATTAAAGTTCGAATTATTCGAGGACCCATCGTAATCAGCAGATTTGGCACCCAGAGACTTTCATTTGTTTCCAGAACTCAAAAAATGTATGCGTGGTGAGCGTTTTTCATCAAACGAAAAGATCATAACGGCGGTTGAAGCGTATTTTGCAGACCTTCCACAGGATTTTGGGAGATTAGTGGATCGCTGCAGCAAGTGTATTAATGCTCAGGGGGATTATACTGCATAATAATGTGTATTTTGGATCATAAAATTGTGTTTTTTTTATCAATTCACAAAACTTATTGAACAACCTGTTACCTTGTTTCTCTCATACATACATACATATGTGCGCAAACGTACGGGACTATCATCACTAGTTTGTAAAAATAAAGATATATATATCTATTGCTGTAATTCGTTGGTTTAATCTTTTGTTTGTAATTTAGTTAGAATTTTGTTGCTATTTTCCATTTATTTGCGACCAGTTTGAATGGTTTTCTTTGCATCAAGCTGGTCACTCCTGCTGCCACCTTTGGCCGGCGCTCATACAATACGCCATAGAATGGATGGCAAAAAGCTTGAGTAGCGCACAATAATAATTCACAAATTATAGTACAGCGGCAATACAATGGCTTTCCTATAATTGTGCGCGATTGCAGCGCCAACACACTACGCTAGCGTTGGCGACGCGTTGCAATGTCGGTGCAGTTGGCTTAAACACTCGCCATGCGCATGAATATGCACATGTATGTGTAGGTTTGTATGTGTATGTGAGCTGCCGCGGCTGCGGTGTGTTGGCAGAAGTTGCGCATGCGCACAATCGCGTGCAATTATTTATATCTAATGAGCGTTCAAATAGCAACCGAAACCGATACCGCTGTAGTAACATTACAAATACACTAACATGCATACATACATATGTACATACATATATACTATGAAAGTCTACATGTAACCGAAAATATCTAAATTTATACGTGAATKTAAGGCAGTAGGCACTGTCCAGCACGAAATTGAAATTGTAACTATGTCTAACGGCATTGCCGACACAATGCTAGTCAAAGCGAAGTACTAATGATAAAAGATTGAAGGAAAAAGCTTACAAATGATCGCGGCAATGCGCTTCATTCGCTCAAACGATCGGCTAATCAACCAACCAACCAACCAACTAACCAACTGCCCTACTGAATAACCGATACACTAAACCCAATGTGTGCGAATGTGGCTTTGTGTGTGTGTGTGTGTGTTTGTGCGTGTTTTGTAATACAGCAAATACTACTTGGTCACTTTAATACAACGGACTTCGGCAAACTCTACTATTCTATATTGCAATGCCACATGCAATTAACCAATTATGTGAGCGGCAAAAGCCACTATCGCTATCGTTGCACACTCGCACATACAGCTCCAACTACAACAATCGGCGATTGGCTAGTAAATAGTAACGGCGTCGGCAGCAGAAGCGGTGGCAACAGCAGTGGCGGCTTGCGCTTGTAATTGCAACTCAATCAATTCAAATTGCAACAGTCAGCTCAACAATGTAATGCCATACGAACAATTGCAACAACAACAACTGCATCGACAGCATCGACAACAGCACAGGCGCGCTTCATGCATACAAATGGCTAAAAATATATATGCGAATACCGACATAACGAGAGCAACGCCAAACACGAACATCCGTCGCAAGGCAAAGTTTACAAATCCAACCGACATTATTGGCCACAATTAATGAAGCATTTATTGCCGTTATTAGCATATTAGCGAAATTCTTCGAAAACCATCAATTTTCTATTGGCGGCAATTTATATCGGTGCTATTTTTGTACAAATTGCTTTATTTAGGTTGGGAGGCTAGGCTCCGGCTTACACTGCAGATAATGGATCTCATTTTAATTGTTTAATTAATTTGAAGAAGTTTTTTCATAGTTTACAATTTTGCATTCAATTTAATTTGTTTTGCAGGCAATGTCCAAAGAAATTCTTCTTTTGAATTTGAGAATATATTGGACACGAAAATTCAATTAGCGCTGTTATTAAAGCTTTAAGTGCATCGTTATTAATGTCGACCAGCTTTGCAAACATCTTGCTTTGAAAATAAGTCGCATGCAAATCAAAAAATTAAGCCCTCAACCTTAGTTTTAGGCTCTAGGATCGCTGTTTAGATAAAATAATATGAAGTATGAAGTCATATATAGAAGTTTCAGTTTTAAACCAAACATCCTCTGTGTAGCTGGGTGTTCTTTGGTACCCAAAAAGCGTTGTTATTGTAAACTGGCGTATTCCGATCAACGACACGCCCGCAAAATGTTATTAAACGAAAGGCTATAAAGTCTCATAATAACTTCCAAATTAAGTCATAAAACTGTATTGTTTGGTAAAAACGATTGGAAAAGCAAGGTACACTTTTGAGCTAAACATTTCTWTCAAACCGCTGAAGTTCTTTAAAATTATTATTATTATACTGTGACAACAGATAAAATCAGATAATAACCATGCTCACCCCCATATAATGGTTATGTTGAAAACTACTAAAAGTGCGATAAGTCACTAAATATATGCGCCGCAAGTATAAATTTCACAAGTAAGAAGGGCTTTATAAATTCGGGTATAAAGAAATAGTATCCCTCAGAAACTGCTTAACCCACTTTAATGAAATTTAGAGTTTGAGGTTGGTTATCCAAACTTTTTATTATACACTGTCAAGCCAGGCCTATTCATATTTGAAGTTATCGGAATAAATCTTTGCAATAGTGCCCTCAAGGTATTACATTTAAATTACAACAAGTTCGGTGCTCGATCTCGCAAATAATAAGAAAAAATTGGTTGTTAGCACGTACATGGATTAAAGCCACAAGAGAAGAGGCGTAATGAAATATTACACGGATGTTTCAAAACCATGAATAAAGGTTAGAGTAAGAGTCTCCCGTAAGGAGCTTCCCTCAAGCTTAATTTTAGACTATCAGATCACTGCAGCGTTTTACAAGCAAATGTGACTGCCATTAAAGTAACAGCAGATCTATTTCCGAGAAGTGCAATCTCTTCAAGCAGGTGAGCATTCACTCTGATCAATACCCCCCAGATTAGCTGTTGTACTGTGTTTTCAGACTCGTCTATTTAACTTTAGCAAGGCCAGCCAAGATCCTTCAAAAAAGGCTATTGAATACTATTCTGGAAAAGGAATCGAATTAAAGTAAAAGGTTGCCTGCTTTTGGAACAAATGGGCATATTCACATTTTTTTGCCAGTTGTCTTTCAAGATATTAAGAAAACAAAGCGCCATATTAAATTAAAAAATTATAATTTTCGCATTATTTCTTATCTATTCTTTCTATATACTAGTTTTGCTTTCGAAAACAAAGGATCCTACTTTTTTTGAAGAAAAATCGAAAATAGCTGGATATAATTTATACTCTGCATAAAAGCTGCCATTTTGCTTGGGACGATAGAAAAAATATCTTTATTAAAAATATCAATTTCATACAAATCCAACCAAAGAATTTTATATCAGCATATTTTATAAATAAAGAAAACTTACATAAATTACTTATAGATATTTAAATTTATGCATATTGACTCACCAGTAGTAGGAAGAGTAATTTGACGAACCAACTCAAAGGTGATGCCATAACGTTCTCACGATAAAAATTCACCAGCGCCCTGCTGCTTATGCACTTGACTTAATTTTGTGGGTCTCTCCGATAATATTTTTCGCTAATGACTACGCAAAATTTTGCGCGTCGTTCCGAGGATCACTTCCCTTTCCTTTCTACACTTAGCAGCTGCTTTGGCYGCTGCTGCTTCTGCACTTTAGATCCACCCGAATTTGGTATTCAAATGAGACAACAACGAAAGGGGAATAAAATGCCACCTAAATGCTTTTCGCCCTTTATGATTCACGTGCTCGTCACGCGGTGATTCATAATGGTAATACCGCTGCAACAACGGTACAAAGATTGGTGGAATTACAGTTTCTCTTGGCGAGCCAATGCATTATGCAGCGCGCTGCGGACCTGTGGATAGAATCGTGTGGTTGAACGAGAGTAAAGTTGCGTGTGAAATGTTGCTGGCGGCTGGCAGTGTAACGGCAAAAAACTGTAAATGTTTGCAATTGCGACCGTTGGACTGCTTGCTGTTACTGCTTACTGTTATTTACTGGCTAAAGGAGTGGGAGAAAGGTAAAACAAAAGAAAAATTTATTAAAACAGGTTAGTGATGCGGAATACTTTTCTGACCAAATGCAGTTGGCCGTGTTCTTATTTGCACAACAAATGCATTAATAAATTTAGTTCACATTTTCGTTATGCCCCCATATGTTAATGTATATATATATATGTTTGAGTATGGTAATACATATAAGGAAAATTTGAAGAGTTAGTGGACTTTTTGGGAATAATTTAAATTTTGTCCACGAAAAAATATGTTGGTACATTTTTTATAAATGCAGATTAAGATTGGTTACAGTCTGTCTGTTGTATAGATATCTAATTGTCAAAAAAATTATCTGTTTCACAACATAGCTGCAGAATACCATTCAAGGCGACAGTGACAAAATAGATCAACGCTAGTAACGACCTCAAAAGTTTTTAATGTAGTTATTTATGCCTGAAAACCAAATACTAATCTTTATCTGGCATTTCCGGAAAACTTGACAAGGTTGATACTTATATCCTTAAAGGCTTTCATACCAACCCTCCCAAAACAATATAGGAATAGTGAATCCGGCCACGCGTTGCTGTTGTATAAATTTTATACTATTATTCATATCATAAACTATTCAATACAGTGAAAACTTTATTTACGAATAAATGCGAAAGCGTTTTTGTCGGTATAAGAATTCAAGGAATTGTACTTGAGGTCTGCTTTCTCAATGTCTGGTTATTATTCTGTCCAGTTAATAGAGTTGTACGCTTAATAGATCATCCATTTAATATAGCTTTCATTGTATTTTTTATTTGTGACTTGTTTGTACTATCCTATCTTCTAAGTTTTTTCAAACTGAACACAGTGTGTTAAATTTTGCTAAAATCGGTTCAGTAGTTTACAAGTCCATCGCGGACAAACAACATGACATATAATTTTTATATACAAATATTCATAATTTCTTCTGAATGCCAATAAAATTAGATGAAATTACATTACATTCAGTGTTACTTTCTCTATAACGGCAATTCAAACTTTACTGGTACTTTTATGTTTGTATTGGCTCGACCAAAAATTTCCCCGACAAAACTTTCAAGGTATTGCGCTCTTGTCGTACTCAAATAAGGGATACGAGGAATGCCCTTGGTCAGAAAGTATTAAGCCTTTGTCTTAGCATTTGTATTTCTGATATGAAAAGATTCAGATAGAATCAATTGGCCTGTCTAATGTATAATTTTCAAAAATTTAAATATCCTTCTTGGGATTTTTTTTATAGACAGTCATTTATGCAGTTTCGTAAATAAGTCATAGTCACAAAAAAAACGAATTTATGTCGCAAAGAACTATAGAAAAATTAATTCAGAATCTGTTTACCACATCCCGTGGAGAACAATTAATTTTTTTCTTTTTGAAAAACACAAAAACATATCTTCCATTGTTTTTAAAGTTAAATGTGCTCTTGGTTTTGTTAAACGTTGGTCTAAACAATTTAGAGATCCGCTTACCACAAAAACTCTTTTTACATCTTTGGTGAGGCCTATATTAGAGTATGCTTCCGTGGTATGGATCCCTTATTATCAAGTTCATTCTGAGAAAATAGAGTCCGTTCAAAAACAATTTTTACTTTTTGCCTTAAATCATTTGCATTGGCATTCCAATTTAAATCTTCCCCCTTACACTAACCGTTTAAAGCTTATAAATCTCCCTACACTCGCTAGTCGTAGGGAAATGCTTGGTATAATATTTCTTGTAAAACTCATCAATGGGTCAGTCTGTAGCCCATCTCTCTTGTCTGATAATAATTTTAACATTCCCGGTCGCTCTACCAGGCAGTTTAGATCTTTACTTTTAAAATTTTCTAGAACAAATTTCGAGTTAAACGAACCATTCCGCCGAATATGTCACGATTTCAATTCTCATTCCAGCACAGTTGATCTAACAGATCCACTCTTTACCATTAAAAAAATTATTTTATCTACTCTTAACAAGTAACATTTTAAAATTATAAACTTTAATCTAATTCTTAATTTTGGCTGTTGAAATTTTTGTTTCTGTAGCTGAGCAGCTTAAGATCGCAACGCTTAAAACTCCCTTGCCTTTTATGACTCGGCTAATTCCGCTCGTTCACGGATTGCGCCATTCGCGTCGGTTGGGCGGGAGGAGGGTGATCGTTGGGTATTATTATTATAAAACACATTTTCTTGCAATGTCTACTGATCATATGAAATTTATGTTTTTTTCTCTTTCATGAAAATACACGATTTTCCTCTCTTACCAGGCTACTTCTCTTTCGAAATGGTTCCTAACATCCTATTTTGCGATAAGCTTGCAGTGGGTTCGAGGACATAATGGTATTCCAGATAACATCGAAAGAGTTGAACTAGTCAGATCCCAATATAGTATTGCAATGAGATCCTTATAAAGAGATATGCCTCAAGTTATTTTCAGATAAACTGCAAATATGTTATAGATGTAGCTAATCTCAGACAGACAAAAGTAACATAAATGGAATATGGGCCGCACATGTTCACATTGAAATTCAGAAATAATGAGATTATAACTGTAGCTGGAGAGCTAATGGGTCAATATTTTATTGGAAGATACCCCAGGAGACTTCAGATTTGAACGATTAAATTAGAAGCTACCAAAAGGTAAAAGAGGAAGGCACTGTAAAACATCTTTTATGCGGATGCAAAGCTTTGTATAGACGGAAATTGCATATACGAGTATAAAACTTTTCGAATTGATGAACTTCATGAATAACACAGGGTGACTCAGAGAGGTCATCATAGTGTGAACGATTTTTAGTCCCGTGGCTTTCTAAAAACGTAAGAGCGCCGTCAGAAATCCACGTTACCTGCCTCTTCTTCAAAAAGCCCTTAGATGATTTTTATACCCCAAACAGTTTCTCATACCCAGAAATAAACGTCGGAGATCCTATAAATGAAAAAAAAATAGCATGACAAACGGAGTTAATTATATCATTCCCATCTATACGCTAACTAGTCCCTTAGTCCTTGAGATATTCGTCTAAAATTTCCTACCCGTCTTTTTTTCTCCCAGAAGCAGCTTATTTATCAGAACCGCCAATAGTGGACCACTATATCATATAGCTGCCAAACAAACGGAACGTTCGGAAAATGTTTGTATGGAAAACTTTTTCATTTGAGGTGCAATCTTCGCGAAATTAAGTTTGGGTTATTTTTAAATGCAATGGTGGAATCACCGAAGTAATTATTCAAATAGAGTTACTATGGCTTACAGCTGCTATACAAACTGACCGATCTTGCCTTGTAAGGTATTTTGGTATTTATGAAGGGTTTTATAAATACCGGTGGAATCGAAGTAAACGTGTTGGTTTGTTTCAAAATATGCCTGTCAATATGCCTGTCAATAGGCCTGTCAATAGGCTATACAAACAAATGTATTTTTAAATAATTATAGTGAAGCCACCATATAACCTAAGTTAACTACACATGAAAATTATAGAAGCCTTTCAAACTGTATAACCAGAAGTTAACAGACTTATTCAACAACTCTCGTTTATATAATTTATAAACCTGGTATGAAGCATGCATTAATAATTACTTATTTGAAATATTTCATGCATCCATTACATGTGGGTTATTTCCAATTCGTTGTGATCACTATTAAATAGCATCGTTAAATCGAAGCGGGGGGTCAAGCAATTAGCAAACACTTCGTTGGGCATGCATACACTAATATTGATAAATATTTCTATAACAAAACAAAAACAACAACAGTAGAAGTTTATATCTATTACAGACTTAACAAACGCCCTACAATCGCTTAGCGATCAGATTACACGCCTATTATATCAATTTGATACAAGCTTATACCTTCTTACAAACATCTAATAATAACACAATAAATACCGCGCTAAATATACATAAGCGATACAGGTGCGCATGCGCAGACATGCGCGTACACCGCTCATCCGTAGCAAAATCAAACAAAAGCTCTGAAATTACGGCATCTCACTTCAGACAACACCCACAAAACTCATTAATTTTCAATAATAATAACAGACGAACAGTACATGAATAAATTATAACCGCACACACACACACATACACGTACATATATTCAAGCATACATATCGGCGCGTCAATCAGCGATGATTGTAAACTTTTACTTTTCTTAATAATTCATCGCAATGAAATCTTGTTACTGCTACAATATAAAGTACATTATTCAAAAATATTTTTTATTTGAAGGAAAAGATACTTGCATAACACCCTTTTCTATCGTTATAATGAGTGTAACAAAAGCTATTCATGTCTTATAAAGCAATCCAAACAATTACTACTGTTACAACACACACACCCACACACACACACAAATTCAACTACAGGTAACTTCGTACGTAATATAACGTTACTTACATGAGTATGTACGTGGATGCCAAAGAAATACCAATAATAGTCTTAAGCTGTCATGTTAACAGCTGAGAAGTCAAACCCATTTATCGGCATTCCTCCACAAGCACAATACGTATGTAAATAGTGTGTATGCACGATTGTGTCTAGTGAGTATGTAGAATAGGATTATCTCTAAATTCACATGTTTAATATTTATACTTGCAGTATTTCATATTCTTTACATATTAACTCGTATGTTTGATATGAAAACATATATCTAATTACCGGGTAGCCTCSATTCGAATTTAAGAAAACCAAAGCGACGAAGAATTTGGTTCAAACGCAACTGAAGATAACTTTATTATTCTCATCACAGTCGAGTCTACAAAAACGGAGCTTTACTCAGATTTATATCCGACTAAATACTGCCAACTGGACAGTATTTTGAAAAGTATTTGGTGAAAGACTTCAGRCGCCACAAAGACAACTTTTCAAATCATAATCATAAATATATAGAGTTGTTTACAAAAATGTGTCATTTGAAAATATATATATAAATATTTTTTTGGCAAATAATGTTTTAAGCCGATTGCGTCCAGTGTGCTATAAGTCGCTCAAATGTATACCAACACTA